CCTTTCCCATGCTGTGCCTGCACAGTGGGGCTGTGGGACCACGTGTGGGGCAGCGAGGCTGGGCTGGCACAGGACAGGGCACTGACAGGGGCCACGAAGCAGCTGCGAGGGGGTGACCACCTGGAGTTGGTGGCTGCAAGAAAAGTCAAGAGCAAAGAGAAGAGCTTCAGTTGCTGTGTTAGAGACCAAGGCTGAACAAGGGAAATGCAGGGCTGCTGCTGAAAGAGGAAGTTGATCTAATAAACAGCAGACACCAATGGGGCTGAGGGACTCACTGCCTTCTTTGCTTGAGTCTTTACTGAAAAGGTCTCCCAGGTCTCTGTGCTCAATGAAGGGGTTCGAGGAGGAGAGCACATATTAGCAGGAGCCTCATGAAATCCCAGAAGGAGAAATGCCATTTTCTGCGCCTGCAGGGGACTCACCCTGGCAATGGCACAGGCTGGGGGCTGCCTGGCTGGGAGCAGCCCTGTGGGAAAGGTCTTGGTGGGCAGGGAGCTGGACAGGAGGCAGCCGTGTGCCCTGGCAGCAAGGGAGGCCACCAGCATCCTGGGCTGTACAACCAGGAGCACGGCCAGGAGATCAAGGGAAGGGATTCTCTGGAATACTCCATCCAGAATTCAGATCCCCAATTCAGGAACGATATTGACAAGCTGGAGTGGGTTTAGCGAAGGGCCCTCAGGACAGGCAGGGCCTGGAGCACTTTGCCTGTGAGGAGAGGCTGAGGGAGCTGGGCTTGTCCAGCCTCGAGAAGGGAAGGCTGAGGGGGACCTTATCACAGCCTGCCACTACTGACGAGGAAGTCATGAAGAATACAGAGCCAGTCTCTTCACCATGGTGCATGGTGGGAGGACAAAAGACAATGGGTGGAAGCTGAAAGAAGAGAGGTTCAGCCAGGACATAAGGAAAACTTTTTTCCGCATGAGCTCAGCCAAGTGCTGGAACAGGTCACCCAGAGAGGTTGGGCAGTCTCTGTCCCTGGGGGGTTTCAAACTCGGACTGAGTCAAGCATTTAACAACTTGGTCTGACCCTGTTCTGACCGGTCGGACTGCAGACTTCCTGAGGTCCCTTCCAACCTCAGCTCTCTTATGATCCTATGGCGACGTTGGGCCCTATTTCTAACTGGAGCAGAGCAGATGTTTATGGGGCATGAATCCTCCTGTGCTGTAAGTGACCATCTAACCCAGCATTTGAACCGGTGAAGAGAGGTCGACAGCTCAGTGTGACTCGCTCTGTGCAAAGACTGAGGAGTCCTGGGCAGGGAAGGTTTTGGGGGCATGGGGCTCTGTGCAAGACAGAAAATGGGCTTGTTTTAATGCCTGTAGGCCTGTCAGATGTGAGTTAATGTCAATGAAAATGAAAGTAAGAAGAGCTGAAGACAAAGAGCCAAAGCAAAGAAATATGTCAACACAGTTTTCAGCCTTTTTTCAGTCTTCGGGGGGATTTCCTTTTTTTGAAAAGGCAAGTGTTTTCTGGAACTGGGAATGGCTGTAGGACACATATGTCTTCAGCTATGGGGACGCAGACACCTGGTGCCAGTGGAGAAGCCCTCGGAAACC